TTAAAACAGAAATGTTTTTAAATCTAGAAAACAGTGAAAACATATGTCCAAAAGATAAAATGTGTTACAAATACATACAAATTTAAGGAAGGAAAACTATCATGAATATAGTTAAATTGAGATGCAAAATGGATTTTATTTTATTATTATTTTTTTTAAGATTTTTATTGTGGAATTGGGGGAAGGGAAACAGACAAGTTGCTGTCCTTTTGATCTTCAGTCTAGTTGTGGAGGACGTTGCTTCACTGGCCCAAGTTGGCACCATCATTGCACTCTTCCCGGGCGAGGCAGATCAGTCGCTGGCTTCTGGACGGCCGCTCAGGGCGGCTGCTGGCCACTCACACTGGCTGCTGGCTACACACAGTAGCCCATGGCAACCCACTGCAGCAGGGGCTGCAGTCTACAGGTCGCTGGCGACTCATGGCAGCCCAGCTCCAGGTTGAGCTGTTGTTCAGCATCTTAGCTGTGGAGGGCAGCGTCTCTGGCCCTCATATGTGGGATCCGAACCGGGGCCCTCTGGCGTCCCAAGCCAGTTCTTACCCAAGGCGCCACTCGGCCGGCCCTGAGATACAAAATGGATTTTAAAAGTAAGATAGGATATCTTCTGTAAGCTTTTGATTCCTTAGTAATTGAAGCCATTTCATTGCTTTTTTTTAAGTGCTTAAATATACAAGTATTCAGTATAATCTGGACACATGACTGAATGAATTATTGAGTAAATAAATGTCTCTTTTTTCTTGAACATTTAAGTTATGTGGACTATGAACCACTCAAATTTGTCAAAGGATAGGGAGTTACTATATTCTGTGGAGAGCAGTGATGTCTTTACATGAAGTTATTCCTTACCTAACTTTTTTTAAAATCTGGCAATTCTGGCATCATTGTTTCCCTATAATATGTAGAAATTAGCTAATAAATACCTTACTGAGATTTGTAATATTTAACTAACACACATATATAGCCTTAAACGTGTTTTACTTGTCCTTTTTTTTTCCCTGCAAAACAAAGGCTCAATGGTACCTTCATAATACAATTTTACATAATCTCATAAAAATTAAACATGATTTAAGAGCTGTGTGTTTTAATCACTGGTTTAAAAATATACTTGTATATATACATATCTATAAATATATATGCGTATATACACACACAACGACAATATTGCTTTATATCTTTAAAATAGTTTAAATTAAATTTCATATAAATGAGTTTATTAAATACAAGCTCTATAAAATGGCATAGCATTTTAACAAATAATTTGTGTTGTCATAAAATTATCCAATGAGTGTGCATATATATATATATATATATATGAAACATGTCAATAGACAAATATATACACACATGTATATGCATGTATGTGTTTATGCAAATGCATTTGCTTATTTATTATTAACCAATAAATTTGTAATAAATTTTGAAATGCCTATAGAATTGGCATATTCTATAGCCATTAGATGAAAGAGAGAAAATAAATAAGCAAAGGGAAACCAGTGTCTTATATAGCCCCTAAGAAAAAAAGGTCTTGCTTAGAAGGGCGGATTTATGCCCCAATGAAAAGTGATGTTTGGCCCATTTATGTTTCATCTAACCCTATAGGAAATGGGTTATATTTTGCTTTACTAGTACAAGAGCAATTTCAAGCACCATTAAGAAATATTTGTTTAATGACAACCAACAATATCATTAAAAATCAAAAAAGATGCATCTATATTTTTTCTATATATTTTAATTTTCTAATATTATTTCATGTTTGTCTCTGAATTTGTTACTACTATCTCTTTATTAAAGGAGTCTTAGATTCTCCACTAGAGATTTTTAGGACTAAAATAAATGGCAAACTCTTGGAAACAATTTAGCTATAATCCAATTTAAAGGCAGAAAAATGGTGGTGTTTTTCTTTCCTATGATTTATGTATAACTTACTCATTTCCATAGGAATGACATTTCTAAATTTTGAACTTACAGAAAATTACCTAGGTTATTTTAAGCCATAGCTGATGTGCCAAAATTATTTCCACTTTAATATACTATCCTGAAGTTTTCCAACGTTCATTTACCATGTAAGTTCTTGGAATGAAGAAATAGAAAAAGTGTGGGTGTTGATCCTGAATGTTGCTAAGTCACTGTCCTATAATAACATTTCTAATTTTTATTTTATTGAGATAACGTTGGTTTATAACATTATGTAAGTTTGAGGTGCGCAGCATTATAATGCAACATCTGTATACATTCCATTGTGCTCAAAACAAAAAGCATAGTTTTCATCCATCACCATACAGCTGAGCCCCCTGACCTGTCTTGTCCACCTTCCATCCCCTCTCCCTCTGGTAACACCAACCAGTTGTCTGCCTCTGTAGGTTTGTTTTTGTTTGACTTGGTATACCAAAGCAGAGTCTACAAAAATTATACACTTTGCTTTAATTAATATTAAGGCATTGTTTGATGATTCTGAATGTCACTTATTGAGTAATTAATTCAACAAATTTCTGACAAAACATTTGTTTTACTAAATCTAGAGCAGTTTTGAAAGTGAGGTAAGAATTCTCTTACTGGATCATATCAGAATCTTCAAGATGGCATGCATCATTTCAAAAAGAAATTGATTTGTTCTAAGTTGTAAAACGTCAGATTTTAGATTTTAGCTGGATTTTCTCAATGAATCTTGATGTGAGCTGGTAACAAACTCTAATGGTTTCAATTTTAAAAAAACATGTCAAACATCTTTCTGGTCACTTTAGTAAAAGTAACTCATTTCTCAAATCTGTGAGCTGTCAGCAGCAATCTAAAGAACGATATGTGAAAAAAACACAATAGGTCCTTATAAACTGTATAAAAACACGTGTTATTAATGTACTACTGCTTAATAACCAGTTAAATACTGCTCTATGATACTTTCCTAACAATTGTTACCCCAATAAACTTTAATTTAAAAAAAACACTTGAAATATAACATGATATTTAAGTGGTACAAGTTAAGACCATGAGTGGCAAAGAAATTCCAGTATCAATTTATAAATAGTTATATCATTTATCAAATTATATGTAGATATATTATGACAAATTTCTAAAAGAATATTAACAATTCTTAAAATGCACTAGGAGGCATTCGTGCACAGCATTTTAAAGCATCTTCAATTTACAGTGATTTAATTGAATTAATAAAAAAGATTCATCCTGGAGATAAGTACTTTGGAAACATTCCAAAGAGAAAAGCAAAACAAAAAGTATAAGTAGATAATATATGCTTTAAGACTTCTACAAATTGTTGTGTGTGTGTGTGTGTGTGTGTGTGAGAGAGAGAGAGAGAGAGAGAGAGAGAGAGAGAGTAAAATGTATAGATATTTCAGTAAGGCACAAGTAAAGGACTTTAGTAAAATTGATACTACAAGATGCAGATAATAATTTAAATAATAAACTGATACACTTCAGCCATTGTTAAAAAGACTCAGTAAAGTAGGAAACACATTTAAAGAATAAGAGATCTGATAATTTCTAGATTTCATAAGTTGGTTATTTTTAAAATTAAATAATCTAGACTTAATTCTGTGATGTTTATTTATATTTGGAAATACGTTTAGCATTTGTAAAATTTGGTAATCAGAAATATTCACATTACATTGAAATTTAAATATTTTATTTATTTAAATCTTTTTTCAATTTATTTTTTAATTATAGCTGACATATAATATTATATTAGTAACTTACTATGATATCACTGACTTTATTCTCTCTACTGTACATTACATCCTTGTGACTTGTGTTATAACTGAAAGTTTGTACTTCTTAAACCCTTTCAGCTTTTTTAAAAATTTTTTTCAGCGTGTATATTTGCATACTTATCACATTTATACATCTAAAGTATTTAGAATTTTTAATAAAAAGTATTATATGAATGTGTATTATTTTTTATAATATTTTCTATTGCAAATACATTCAAAATATATATTACTAAATTTGCAAATATTTTAATATAAAAATATCTTCTATATAGTTATATTAAAAAAATGCATTCATAGAGCTAAAGTTTAAATTTATATAATCTAAAGAAAATATTTGCCATTCTATTTAAATATTTTTGTTGACATTATGTGTGTGCATTTTTTTATATGATAGTTGCAGATTTACTAAATTCCTTTAGCAAAATTACATTGAAATATTTCATTAAAATTAGTAACCTAATTTAAATTATTTGTAATAAATTTATTGAAAAATATGTCTTTCACATTTTGCATATTCTTAACCTATACTTTTACGTCTTTCATATTTGATGAATTAGCCTTTTTGTTGCATGTAATGGATATAACATATTGTACATTCATGTGTGTACATTTGAATATGTATGTATTTGTATTCATGACATGCTCAATAATTTACTTTTATTAGTATTATTGTAACATTTTAATGAAACTTTTTGTTTGAAGAATTTTTGAATACCAATAGAAAGTTTGAGAGCCAAAAGAGGTAAGAAATAGAATAATTATATATCAACTTTGATAATAGATTGTCCTTTAAAGAAACATTTAGTTTTATCCAGATTTGTGGAAAGCTTCATACTGAATATCATTTACAAAAAATAAATTGTTTGTTATATTAAAATATTTATTCTATAAATAATTTTCTTATATCTTTAAGGCTGATGAATTTATTGTTCATAGCACCTGATAATACAAAAGTAAATGCATAATAAATTTAAAAAACAAAATTCTGGAGAAGGAAAACGTTGCAGTAGTGCTACAGCCCTCCCAAGAAACGTAACATTTTAAATGTTCTAGTTATGAGCAACTTTTATTTCCCTCAAGCTGAGTGGCAGAGACGGCAAACTTCTCACGAATATTTGTTTCAGAGGAAATTCAACATAGATGTCATAGCTGTAAAACTTTTAGGATGTTTTTGTCCGTATGAACTAGCAAAGAGCCCCTTAAGTACTTTTCGGCCCTCTATTCATTACAAGATCATTTATCTAATTCCATATATATGCCTGGTTATCACATTCTTACCTGTGTGTCTTCAAGCTCTACTTCTGTGGAAACTGAAGTTCAAAATTTGCATTAAACACATGAGGGAGAGTAGGAGACAGGGTTCTTGTTTTGCTTCACCGGCTTCTCATCAGGCCTCCAGGAGCCACACGCATGAGTCACAGACGCTTGCGCTCTCAGTGCCACGACACTCAGTATGTCACTGCTTACTGAATGCTATTTTGGGTTCTCTGAGTAAAGCTGTGAACACTGAGTCTTTTGTGCAAAATATCATAAGGGCACTCTGATGTCCGCTCCTAGTCTGGGATTAAAATGCAGACAGCACCAGCAAACAGTAGGAGCTGATTATCTTTTTTCTTTTTTTCCTTTCCCTAACAACAAGCAAAAAGAAAATAAAGTGCTTATTGGCTTGAGGTGATAAGGAGGGAATTCAACTTATGTAAGAGAATTCTGCAAGCGGAAAGGACATGCCCTCAACTTGGGGATTAGTGGATGAAACAAATGATCAATTTAAAGTAGGCACAAAAGTTACTAAAAAGAGAAGAGCTTTTCCATGGTGTGTCTGGGCCTTCTGGCCGCTTCTTAATTCGGTCTTTCTGCTCAGGAGTCAAGTAAAACACTGAAAGAGAAGGCAATGTCTAAATCATAACCCTCCTCTTTCCCTGGGTTCAATTGCTACCAAAATACACTTATTTTATTAAATGTATAATTAGATTTTGTTATCAATAGTTATTGCTATTTATTGTGAAATACATAATATTAAGGTCTATGCTTTTTTTTAAGCTATTTTTAGTTAAAAATAATTTTTGAACCAAATCAGAGAACGGTTGATAAATATGAATGATGTTTTAAAACTATAACTGATGTCTATAAAACTTAATATGTTAAGGTTTACATATGTAATTATTATAAGGAGACACCCTCAAATTTCAAAAATATACTTGAGTCCTTCAATACTGGGAGTATATATGCATGTTCGTAGCTTTTCTATCATCACAAGGGAAGGAGAGTACAAAAGGATTATAACTAAGGCTGTGAGAACTAAATAGATTATGTGATGTCTCATTTATGTTTGCTCATCTGTGAATTTGTGAATTCCTAAAAACCAAAATTTACTAGTTACTACTTGCTAAATAAATGTTAGATGCCTCAGGAACATGTGGCAACCCAAACAAAAATAAGCTTTGTCCTATAAGCTTTTCTTTTTTTTTTTTTTAATTGTGGTAAGAACACTTAACATGAGATCTACCCTCTTAACAAATTTTACAGTGCATATAATACAGTACTGTGAATTATAGGTACAATGTTGTATAGCAGATATCTAGGACTTCCTCATCTTGCATAACTGAAACTTTATACCCTTTGAAAAACCATCCCCTGTTTTCCCTGCCCCCAGGCCTGGCAACCACCATGCTTCTGTGAAATTGACTGATTTAGATGCCTCCTATAAGTGGAATCATGCAGTGTTTGTCCTTCTGCAACTGGTTTATTTCACCTAGCACAATGCCCTCAAGATGCAGCCATGTTTTGGTTGTTATGTAAGAATCTAACACTTTATGGGGAATTGTTTCCTGCTTAGACACACTCTCCAGCCCACTTTGGATTGCAATTTCACTTTTCCAACCTGCCAGTGCATGTTTAACATGATGTCCAGAGGGCTTATTTTAGGGCAGAAGGGAGCAAGTGTGGGACACTGTTTGCTCCACTGATTGTTACAATTCCACTAAAAGGATGATCAGGACTGCAAAAGCTACAGTGAGGCAAGATGACACTTTCTAAATAATGTACAGCTTGGAATTTATGTATAACACCGTTATCAGTAATTTGTGATTTCATTAAATGGAAGGCCTGTTATTAATATAAAACACCTATATAAAGTGACCGACTAGATTTTGTTTTAAGATAGGCACAAAGCACTTACTCACACAAAAAAAACATTTCTCTTCCCTGGAGGATGAGTGGTGACTAACAGCGGATAGTCGTCTGGAAGCAAGCACGTCTATGCCACAGCCCAGAATGCAGACTGACTAGGCTGATGGGAATAGGCATCAACTAAGCTTAGGGGTTACTTCTGTTGCGTTTTCCTCCTATCAGATGAGAAGTACATGAAGCCTTTTCCAAGTATAGGAGGAGAAAGAACTTTTGAATAGTGCATGGAACGTGACTGTGCATGAATGGAGAGTCTCAGAATTAAGTACACCACTATCCACCCAACCGGAGCCTCCATACCGTGAGATACGCGTGTGGGAGGGTGGACAATTACTGAAGCGCAGACGCATTCTACTGAACAAACGTCCGCTTTCACAGGCAATCTGGGGAAACTTTGCAAATGTCATCTGCCAGCAGGCTAAGAAAGGGAACTTGAAGGGTCAGAAGCCTTCATTGTATTAAGCACCTCTCAATAGAGGTTTGAATTAAAATATGATAAACCATTGATGCTCTGGAGAACTAACAATTTCTTCTTTAAACCAGATATTTAAGAAATGTAAATCTATTGACTAGCAGCTGACTGGATCAGCTACCAAAGCTCAGCTCTAACAAGGGCAGGAGACAGAAGCCAATTGTCATTTGGGCTCTGACCCATCCCTTGAAGACAGACCTTTATTCAGAAGTTTTAGGTCTACTTACTTCTCAGCATGGGCTCTCCAGGTACCTTCAGTTAAGTCTAATATTTAGGCTTCTGTTAACCACTAAGCTATTGTCTGTGCCTATAAGTTTTTGTTTCTTTATTTTTTTGTCTTGTTCTTTTGTTGCTTTTAGTTTTATATCCCACATATCAGTGGTTTCCAGAGGGGAAGCTGGGAGAGGGTGGTAGATGAGGGTAAAGAGGGTCAAATACATGGTGATGGAAGGAGAACTGACTCTGGGTGGTGAACACACAATGTGATACATAGATGATGGATTACAGAATTGTACACTCGAAACCTGTGTAACTTTATGAACCACTGTCACCCCAATAAATTTAAAAAAAAATTAGGCTTCTTCCAATCAGCTGTGGTCAGGATGATAGAATCTGAGGTCTAGGTCCTCATCGCCACAGTTTTGGAGCATACTATTTATCAAATTAAAATTATATTCATGAATAATTTTGGAGAAAAAATCATGATATATTAAGATAGAAAATTTTAAAAATGTATTAACTGTATGATATCATTGTGTCAATTAGGCTTGTGTAGGCTGCCATATAAACAACAAAACAAAATAAAGCCCCCAAAATGGCTCAAACAATGAAGAAAGGTGACACATACATAGAAAGATAAAGTAGGCTTAGGGTTAATTGATCAGGTGGCTTTACACTGTAATTAGTTTCGTAGGTCCATTTGGCCTTCTCTTGTGCTTAAGTATTTTTTCCCCGCAAATAGCCCCCAAACACTCCACTTTTGTCTTATTGATTAAAATAATTATTTGTCCACATATGAATAAATTATACCAAAGAGACAAGATGAGAACCATGAAGCCATTCCTGCGGTTGAGAGTAAGAACTACTTGATGAAGAAAATAGACTGATTTTTCTAAACCAGGGTGAGGTAGTTGGATCAACTTGTCAACCAACACTATTCACTTACGAGATGTATAAAACAGCTTTTAAAACAGCTGAAAATAAATATGCGTTTCTCAATGGATAATCTCTAGATGTTTTTCTTTTGTATTAGTCCAATTTGCGGTATTTTCTTTTATTTCTTTAAGAGAGACCTGTATCACAATGATAAGTAGGAGAAAATAAAATGCATACTGATAACAAAAACAACGATAAACAGAACACCAGCTAATCCACATACTTCAAGCAACGCCAAGTCTTTTCTTGTCATACTTGGTTTTCAGTAAAGACACGTTCTACTGACTATGCCAACCGTTGTATGTTCTTAGAAGATTTATCATTTAAATTCTAGTTGCAGCTGCTTTAGCAATTATGGATAAATCTGTACAGGCTTTTGTGGGGACACAGACTTTTCCTATTTGGGTTTAAGGATTGTTTAATATGTATTTTTTAAAGTGCTTTCATTCATACTCTCCAGCAGCGTTTTAACTCCTTGCTTTTAATAAGGATTTCCACAGAGTTCACCTTGGTTTTATTTTTAAAAAATAGTGGCTTGTACTTTCAGACAGATTTCATTTGTTATATTGTGTACATCCATAGTTTCAATAATAAGAAATCCTGGCATAGGTAGCTTTGTAGCATAGCTTGCCCGCTGGGGGCATACATTTGCATGGTTGACAATAAGTGTGTGCTCGTGAACTACAGGTTCAGAAAAAAAAAAAAAAAAGGAAAGCTTCAGTTATCCCAGTTTACAGTCCATATGGAATGACTGGACTATGACACGAATTATACCTACATAATCTTATTTAATCCTTCAACATTTCTTCCAACAACTGTTGGCTCCCACTTTACGTTTAAGTAAACATGAGACAAATAGCACAGCAGTTCTTGAATAATCAGTGGGACTTTTTTATGTCAAACCCACGTTGCACTCTCTCTAACACCCTCCCTTTCTGGAAGAAACCTTACAATTTTTAAAGAAACATTTCTTTAAAAAACACAATCACCAATGTAATGTAGTAGTGTTACAGTAGCCACCAGTTGTAAAGCAATAAAGCCAAGTGTACAAGCACTCACGCAAAGGCCCTTCCTCCCTCCCCTGGTGTCCTTTTGTGTCCTTCCCAAGAAGTTTTGGAGCGTCTACTATTTTCCAGGCACCTGTCTTGGTGTTGGAGTTGCACGCCTGGGTACTATGGATAAAAGACCATCTAAACAAAGCGCATGTCCTAGTAAAGGGGCCCAGTGAGAGGGTGAGATAAATGAGTTAAATACATAGTATACTAGCTAAACAAAAGTGCTGAGTAGAAAAACAACGCCTTAGAGGGGGTTAGTATTGTCACAGGGAAGGATACACAACATTTTATACAGAAGAGGCATGAAAGGTTCAATTGAGGAGTGATTAAAAATATATGATAGAAATGAGGGCCTGTGCTCTGAAGCCGAATAACAGCTCAGAGCACATGAAACCATCAGCCTAAAATGTTCAAGAAACATCAAGGAATCCACTTGACCAGGGTTCAAAAAGAAAGACAATAGGGGATGAAGCATGTGTGTGTGTGTGTACATGTGTGTGTGCATGTGTGTGTGCATGTGTGTGTGCATGTGTGCATGCATGTGTGTGCATGTGTGTGTGCATGCATGTGTGTATATGTGTGCATGTGTGCATGCTCACTTGTGCACACGGGGACAGATTCTATCATATCTTGCTGGAGGTCTTTTGGGTTTTACAGGGAGTGAGGTGGAGAGCTATTGGAAAGTTTTAAACAAAGGTGG